AACAGCACACTGTAGGGACAAGGAGAAACACTGATTTTTGACTGGAAATGTTAACCAGAACTAAGTTTGACTGTAGTTTCTAAAGCTACAGCATAAAATCCTAATATGACTAGACTCTGTCTATGTAACTACCACTGAAAAGGCAGGATGGCTGAGTCACTTTCTACTCGGGACCCACCTGCACAGCTCAGCCTGACAAACCAGAAAGGGAGAAAAAACAAAACAACAAAAGCCAGATCATTAAATGCAAATGGGCATCTTTAGTGGCCCTGCGCCTCACAGACTCTCTCCCTTCTAATCACCTTATCCTCTAACACATCTTCAAATGGCTTTTCAGAGCCTGTGGTTTATATAGTCATCATCTTATAGCAATTAAGTGTATCTTAGTGGAGCTAGACAATTAACCTGATGTTTTGTGCCCTTAGTCACCAGAACACTCCTGCTGGATTAAGCAGTCCCTGCATGGAGACAGCTGAGGGGATTATCTGGGACTTCAAAGGGGCATTTATTTGTGTAACCTCTTGTGTACGTGGGGATTAAAGGGGAATGCCACTCAGCTGAAGAATTCATGTGTCACTTTTGTTAGGTGAAACTGCATAATGAGTTCTTATTTTTCCAACTTGAATGCGATTATTCAGTATGTGTTGAGTGAGTTTTTTGGTCCTTGAACACAGTTTAAAAATGCATGCTTATGAAACAAACACCCAGATGGAGGATTTTTTTTTTTTATCTGTGTGACATCCCAGATTAAATGGCAGGCATACAGACGTACAATAATAAAGTGATTAAACACAAATATAACTGTTCTACGACAGAAGAAAGATTCAGTATCCCTCTATTAAGGACACAAATGAAGCTCAGAGACGCACCAACCTTGTAGGTGAGTCTTGCCCTTAGCTGCTTCTGTTTCTCCATCTGTACCAGGTAGCCATCAGAACTGCTTCTATGGATGACGTAGGCAGTGCTCGCACTCTGATCAGGGCTCAGCTCCGGCTCTTTCCCTGTCATTGGGTTTCCTATAGGAGGTAGAACTGGGTAGGAGTCTGAACACAGAGACGAAGTGGTGGTGGGTGTCCCGGGGAGGTTTTGTGGAAATTGCTTTGTGTGAACCTCATTTGGACTCCATTTCTGGTGCTCCTCTTCACAGGATAATGGCCACTTCATGGCAGTTGTCCTAAAACACACAATTAGGGGGGTCCCATGATAATAGATAAGCAGACAAAAAAGTTCATTATTATTCTATATTGCCCATATTTTATATTAATTTTTATATAAATACATATCATATATCAGACATACTTTTCACCTCATTTTCTCTGTCTCAGTGTTAGTGCTGTCATTTGACACAGGCCACAAGAATGCTCTAACGTCATTATTTCAATTAAATTTTTAAATTTTTCAATTCAATTTTATTTGTATAGCGCCAATTCATAACAGAAGTTATCTCAGGACACTTTTCAAATAGAGCAGGTCTAGAGCGAACTCC